GGAAACTGCTCCCGAAAGAAAATGTGTTTATCACCTGATGCCTGCGAATAAGTTAGCTATCTGTTAACGGTACTGACATTGCGCTCCCAAGCTAACAGCGCTGCAAAGCTAGCCAGTTGGTGCGTTTTACGAGGCGTGCCTATCAGCTCCACTGTCCACGTTGCGACTGTACAAAACCGCAAATAACAGCAGAGCTACGCTGCTATCCTGCTAATGTCAGCCGTCAAGTCTTGTTTAATCGCCGACAGCTTGCGAACAGATCGAATGACGCCACGTTACAACCCGAGCTATGAAATGTACAACAAACAGAAAAACAAACCTGGGGCTGAAAAACTATGTTCACTGCGGTCCTCAGCGTTCAGCGGTCGCCTCGCCTTGAAACGTTTTCAGCACGGAAACACACGCTGTGGATGAGCTCGATTCGTCGACCCTCTCCCGGTGGCTCCCTGTCAACACCGGCGGGCGGGGCTAAGGCTCGTTAGATCCGCCGAAAGGAAACTTTGTACCCGTAATGGGACAATGTATCAGACATCCTCCTCTAAGTATGTTGGGAATTTCTGGTCCTGAATTCAGACTGCCGGGTTAATTAAAGTTGCTTCATATGAACGTCAATAAGAAATAAGATTGGAAAGGTGGAAATTTAGTGCGATTAAACATTTACATATTTATTTTAAACAGTGTGAGTAGCTTAACCATTCTTTAAAAAGATCGGACAAACAGCATAGGGTGTGTGGTTAATTCAAAAAAGAAAAAAAAGAAATTTGAAAACATCCTGTTACTAACCACTCCTTAAAAACATTTGTTTCGCATTTCCTTTGCTCTGCTGTATCTACATTTATGCAGCTTGTTAAATTACACCCTGAATTTAGAAGATGAAATTACACGTCACAATGCTGGCAAAGAAACATAAGTGAGAGGGAGTATATGGACTGTGAAAATATTTGTTAGCATTTTCTGGTGGAAGATGTAGGAAGCCACCTGAAAGAAATCACATTTGTTGTGTTTGAAATCAAACTATTGTGCGAGTGAGGCCTATATAAAGAGAGCAAGTGGATATTCCAGGATTTATATCAGCAGTGCCACAGCTGCATTAGTGCAACAGGCTTCGAACAGAGGCACTATTAGAGAGAGAGTGACACAAGGCACTCAGAGGTTCCTGAATGGGAACATTTTTCAACGGCAAAGCTGGGGGTAGGAGTAAAAACTCCAAGAGGAAAAAGTTTTTGGTTTTGGATTGGAGTGTTTTTGGTATCATATCTTAGGGCGAACTTTTTAAGTGGTTTTGATTAGTGTTTGTGTACATGACGTGAAATGAAAGATGGGTTGGAGATTGATTCTAATTATTGGTTCAAAGTGACTTGCTCTTATCGTGGACTTGGATGTTTCAGAACTGACACCATATGAACAAGGACTCGTTTGCGGATGAGCATCTCTTTTTCCCGCTTGTTCACGCTCATATTCCAGAAGTTAAAACTAATGGTCAAACTGTTAAAGAAGCGATACTTCCAGCTAAGAACACCAACAAGCAGAGTTGGGGAAACTGATATACATTTTTATAGATTATTTATAGATATTCCCCATTTTCACAATAAAAGAAATGGCACATTCCACAATCTGTATTCTATTGCATTTTAAAGTGACCCCCCCCCCCGAGAAAAGATCAGATATTATTAATCCAGAGCCACCAGCCGGCTTCCATGCATGTATTGCAAATTCTCAAAGTGTTGTTATGCTTCTTCAGATATATATGCAAGGATCTATTGCAAAATAAAGAGCTCTCTCTTCTCTCTCCTATACTCTGAGGTTGCCATGGAGACAGATATAATTCAGTTCTTGATGTTTCTCTTAAAAAAAAAAAAAAAGCCTGCGTACATATTTTCATCTGCAACCATAGCGACACTTGACATTGTCCGCGCTATTTGTAAAGACCAAGTCACCATAGCGACACTAACCATCCAGGCTGTGTCACAGATCATGTGTCCTGGCTGCCTCCTCGTCGTGAGTGGAAATACAGGAATCCGGTGGTAAACATGATCTATTTATTCATTTTGAAAACATATGACCAGCTTGATGTTTTGGCACTGGACAGCAATTACCGAAAAACCAAACACTAAATAAATAAATAAATATTGAACAGAGACCACATCTGGCATGGAACTGGCACACTTTGGGACGTATACGGGGGGAAAAGCAATATGTTACAATTAATTTATAAAGAAAAATGATCACGTATTCGTGCATCAACGTCAGAGCAACATATTTGCAGTTCAGCCCCGAAATGCTTATTGACAAATACTTTAACACCCACCCACTAAAATGTCTTAAACTCCTACTAAAGCATGCAACAGTCTGCTGAAAGTTGGTTGTATTATTATTATTATTATTATTATTATTACTACTACTATTATTATTGTTATTTAGTTTATTTATTGCCAAAGAAAGTTTACTGGGCAAGAAATAAATAGATGGAGTTCTTGACGCCTATATCGTGCACTGATCA